ACTAATCTATATTAAATTGATAATGGTACGATAGTCGAAAGTCCCCCTTCATTCTCCCTCCTTGCACAGAGGTTCACCGACAGCCAGGGCACCGGATAGTAAACCATTGCCGTGCGGATAGTAGACTATTGCCGTGCGGATAGTAAACCATTTGCCGTCCGGAAGCCGTGCGGGTAGTAGACTATGGCCATGCCGCATAGTAAATCATTACCGTGCAGATAGTAAACCATTGCCGTCCGGATAGTAAACCATTGCCGGTTCACCACTGGCCACCAAGGCTTACCTCTGACAAGAGACTTCGAAATTCAGAGTCTATCGGCTATCGTACCCTCAACTTACCTATTCATTACAATTAAGCCCTAGCTTACCTAAAATTACAAAACTCAAGAGCCCAATTCATTGGCCAATCGGCACCCACCCCACCACCTACGTAATGCCTTGGGCTCCAACTTAGTAATAATAATATAAAACTTAAACCCTAAGCCTATTAATGAGTATGTTACAACGTAGCCTTAACCTACCTATTCATTACATTAGGGCCCTAGCTTACCTAAAATTACAAAACTCAAGAGCCCAATTCATTGGCCTTTCGGCACCCACCCCACCACCTACGTAATGCCTTGGGCTCCAACATAATAATAATAATGTAAAACTTATAATTAACCTACCTATCGATACACTTACAGCGTTTTATTTTACATTACAAAATTGTTCCTAGAATTACATTATTGACCTTAACTACCTATGAAATTAAATTACTCTCAACCTTAGTAATAATAAATAAGAATGTGTAATTAAAATAAAATTACGCTCAAATACTAACATATGTGTTTATTTATGTATTTGTGTGTGTGTAATATGCTGATGCGTGTAATGTGGGTGCAAGAAAAAATAGAAGCGATAAACTTACGCGCCTACCTATTCAACTACATTAGTGTTGGATGCTTCATATCTATCCTACCTACAATTAAAATTATGCCTATCTAACCTACCTATATAGCTACGTAATGTAATTGTGTGTGAATGTGTGTGCGTGAGCATTCTTACTTAATGTTAAATTACTGAGAAAAAAGAATAAAACGTATCCCAGCCAGGCGTATCTTCTTTGCCACTGAATGAACGAACGTAGCCTGACATCTTCCATGATGAACTCCTCTGGAAGCTTCAACCTGAATTAAATGAATAAAATAAAAAAATTTTATTTATTTAATTAATTTATATGAAAAAAGAGTAATGAGCCGCGGTGAAACCCGCCAGCCGGAAAAGCCAGCCAACTGGCAAAAAAATGAACCGCAAAGAAACCGTAAAACTAACCCTAGCCAGGCGTGAATTCTTTGCCACTAAATGAACGAACGTAGCGTGACATCACAACCATTCTGATCTTCCACGATGAACTCCTCTGGAAGCTTTAACCTAAATGAATGAACCTGAATGAACCTAAATGAATGGAAAAATCTTATTTATTTAATTAATTTAAATGAAAATAGAGAAACGCAAAGGAGCCGACCGGTCGGCATAGAAAAGAACCTCAAAGAAAGGTATCTATATAGGATTTATGCTCTATATAACTCTATATAACTCTATATAACTCTATATAACTCTATATAACTCTATATAACTCTATATAACTCTATATAACTCTATATAACTCTATATAACTCTATATAACTCTATATAACTCTATATAACTCTATATAACTCTATATAACTCTATATAACTCTATATAACTCTATATAACTCTATATAACTCTATATAACTCTATATAACTCTATATAACTCTATATAACTCTATATAACTCTATATAACTCTATATAACTCTATATAACTCTATATAACTCTATATAACTCTATATAACTCTATATAACTCTATATAACTCTATATAACTCTATATAACTCTATATAACTCTATATAACTCTATATAACTCTATATAACTCTATATAACTCTATATAACTCTATATAACTCTATATAACTCTATATAACTCTATATAACTCTATATAACTCTATATAACTCTATATAACTCTATATAACTCTATATAACTCTATATAACTCTATATAACTCTATATAACTCTATATAACTC